TCCTGCCAGAAGTATGGAGGAAAGAAAATGCAAAAAGCATACCCAGTCCTTTGAGGACTATTCCCAAAAGTTGCATGTACCAAATCCGTTTCCATCCCATTGGCCAGAAATTAATGCCTCGGGCTGACCTTACTGCTGGGAAATGTAGTCTTTATTTTGGGCAGGCATGTATCCAGCTAAAAACCGGATGTTTAATACTTCGAAGAATGTCGGGATGGAGGGATATTTGGGGGTAACTTGCAGCCCCTGCCACATCACTTAGACTGTTATTTTTAGACAATTTCAGTTTCTTATATTATGCCAATATGACAAATTGGAAAGACTTTCTTGGGACTTCCCTGGTGACGCAGTGGTTAAGAATCCGCCTGCCAATGCAGGGGACACGGGTTCAATCCCTGGCCCGGGAAGATCCCACATGCTGTGGAGCAATTAAGCCCGTGCGCCACAACTATTGAGCCTGCGCTCTAGAGCCTGTGAGCCACAACCACTGAGCCCATGCACCACAACTACTGAAGCCCAAGTGCCTAGTGCCTGTGCTCCACAACAAGAGAAGCCACCGCAATGAGAACCCCATGCACCACAACAAAGAGTAACCCCCGCTCACCACAACTAGAGAAAGCCCACGCTCAGCAACGAAGATCCGACACAGCCGAAAATAAATAAATAAATAAATAATAAATTTATTTTTTAAAAAAAGACTTTCTTTCTTCTCAGAAGTTCCACGTCACTTTCTTTGTACCTTTATTACAGCACTTATCTTAGTGTGATATTGTGTTGTGTACATTTTGTTCTCCCTAGGATGTTGTAAACCCTCACTGTACATGGGATATGTATATAATATTTTTAAATTGATGGTGCTGATTCTAAGTGGTCAAAGTTACAGCAAAATGTAGGAAAACACTTATTTTTCTAAAGTTTATGTGTTTAATCAACTCAGTGCTTAATTTACAGTAGATATATATATTGTTAAATTAGTGAAAGTTTAATGATAAGTATCTAGGATTTTTATACATCGTGTATATGTTTAAGTTTTCATTGTTAGGAAAGGAAAAAAAAACTCTGAGATGGTAGAAATTTGATTCTGACTCATGCTTCATGTAATTTTTTTCCCTTTTAGTGAGACTGTTCTCCGTGGAATAAAAGAGGGTCTGCAGAAAGCTCTAACAGACCATACAGTAAAAGCCATTGTGATTTGTGGAGCAGATGGCATCTTCTCTGCAGGTAACCAGTGTCTAACCCTCTCCCACTCTCTCTGAAATCCTGCCACAGACTGAGATCAATGCTGCATTATCTGTCCCTGTGGGTAATACTATAGTGTGGGTAATGAATATGGGAGTTGAACGGGAATGAGAAACATTGTGGAGAAAGAGACAAGAGTCATAGGAGAGAACACAGAGAAGATGCTGACCTTACTCTCTTTTATATTGGATTGGGCCTTTGGAGGACATTTAGTTCCAGGCTTGATGGCTATTATAGCTGCTAGTATATATCTGCTGGTACATATCTGCTCTGCGTATGTCACCATCCTATGTGAGCCTGGGCAAGTCCCTTAAATCTTCTGAACCTCAATTTCTCTATTTATAAAATAGATACCATAATATTTATATCTTAACAGGTTTTTGTGAGAGTAAATGAGATAACACATCTGAAAGCCCTAGAGCAGTGCTTGTATGCAGAACATGTTCGATAAATGTTATTTTTTATTTTACACAGAGTCCTGCAGTGGAGTTCATTTTTCTTCTGATAGTCACCCATCTCAGTGACCATGCACTCTTTATTGGGTTGTCCTGTGAATATGCAAAATAGTGACAAAATACAGCAAAAGCGTCTGAAATGGTGATTTATTCACTGGTATTTGTGGCACCTTTTCTTCTTTTCCCAAATTATACCCTTTGACAAAAGTCCCATGGATATGAAGGCCCATGTATTCTTACTGTAGCCAGAGGAATTTTTTCCATTTTTCTTCTTCTTCTTCTACTTCTTTTTTTTTTTTTTTTGGCTAGAGGAATTTAATGTATGTCAGTGGTAACCTGAGAAGAAATAGATGTTGAAATCATAACAATGAATAAATATAAACACATTAATCACTATAATAATTACCGTTTAGCTTACCTGCTATGTGCCAGTACCGTGTAGCTTATTTACTTATTAACAATGAAAATAGTAATATTTTTACATACTTTATATTTTAATCCTCAGTAAATCCTACAGTTTCCATTTACAGATGAGAAGGCTAAGCCTAAGAGAAATTAAATAATGGGCCAAACATTAGCCAGCTATTAAATAGCTTACTCAACTGTTTGAAAACTTAAGGTTGGGAGCCCAAGATGGTGACTTTGAGGCATGGAGTGAGGGATCAGAATTATGAAAAATCAGAACTGATATTTCTTTGTAAAAAAGCAGGTAGGAGAGAATGTACTTAGAGTTCAGAGGCAGCAAAAATAATTGTTCTGGAAAAGCATTAGGGATTGTCAGACTTGACTTAATGGACTTAGATAGAACAATGTGCCCAACAATCGGAAAATATGTATTCTTCTCCAATCTGCAACTTTTACAAAAGTTGATCAGCTACTGGACTGTGAAAGCTTATCTCAATAAATTTCATTTAGAATGTCTCTGACAACAGTGCAATCAAGCTAGAAATCAATAACAAAAATATAACTAGAGATTCTCATGTGTTTGGAAAATAAATTCATTTTTTCATAACCTTTGAGTCAAAGCAGAAATCATAATGTAATTTAGAAAATATTTTTAACTGAATGATAATAAAAACAATATATAAAACTTGAGGGATACAGTTAAAGCAAAGCTTAGCAGGAAATGTATGACCTTAAAGGTATATATCAGAAAAGAAAAAAACACTGAAACATATTGTGGTAAGTGTTTATATTAAGGAACTGACAAAACAAACAGTAAAATAGATCCAAATGAAGTAGAAGGAAGGAAATGATAGAGGGGAAATTACTAAAATAGAACATGAATGTGAATCAAAAGAACAATAATATCAAAAGTTCTTTGAAAATACTAATAAAATTGATAAAGCTTCGGAGAGGCTTATCAAGAAAAAAAAAAGAGACAATACAAACAATACATATAAAGAATGACAAAAGGGATATCACTGAAGATGCTCTAGCCATTAAAAAAGATAATATGAACAAGTAGAAAAACAGAGCTTACAACATTGACTCAAGAAGAAACAGAAAACCATTAAAGAAATTGAGTCAGTAATCAAAAATCTCACAAAGTAAATTCAAGTCCCAGATGACCTCATTGGTAACCTCTAACTGAAAAGTCAAGGAAAATATTATTCTAATTTTACACAAACATTTCAGAGAATAAAAATAAGAGGGAACACTTTCTATATTAGTTTCCTGGGGCTGCCATAACAAGTAAGCACAAACTGAGTGGCTTAAAACAATAGAAGTTTATTCTCTCAGAGTTCCAGAGGCTAAAAGTTCAAAATCAAGATATCTGCAAGGCCATTCTTTCTCCAAAGCCTCTAGGGAGGAATCCTTCCTTGCCTCTTCTAGCTTCTGTGGTTGCTGTCAATCCTTGGCATTCCTTGGCTTGTTGCTGCATTATCCCTGTCTCTGCCTCTGTCTTCCTGTGGCTTTCTCCTCTGTGTCCAAATTTCCCTGATCTTATATAGACCCACAATGATCTAGTATGACCTCTTCTTTACCTGATTATATCTGCAAAGACCCTATTTCCAAATAAGATCACATTCACAGGTTCTGGGTGGACACCGTTCTATCCAGTACACTTCCCAACTCATTTTGTGAGGCTAGCATAACCTTGATAACAAAACCTGTCAAGGACAGTATGAAAAAGCAAAATTAAAGGCCAATTTTATTTGTAAACCTAGATATAAAACTCTGAAACAGTATATAATAAAACTGAATCTAACGATATATAAAAAGCATGATATATCACTTTCATCCCAGAAATACCAGATTCATTAAACATGAGAAATCAATGTAATTCATCCTATTAAAATATTAAAGGAGGAAAATCATGTGATTATTTCAAGAGATTCAGAAAAAAACACTTGGTAACGTTTAGCATGCATTAAAGATTAAAATTCTTAGTAAACTAAATATAGAAAGAAAATGTCTTCATCAGGCAAAATGTATCTATTTTTAAAAACCTACAGCAAACATCAAACAAAATGGTAAATTGAATGCTTTCCTTTTCAGAAAGAAATAAGACAAGGCTGGCTGCTATCACCATTTGTATTTGACATTATATTCTAGGCCCTGGCCAGCCTAGAAAAAGAAATAAAAGGTATAAGGATTGGGAAGGAAGAAACAGAACCATCATTATTCAGAAGAAATGAGTGTTTGTAAAAAATAAATCTATCAGAAAATTATTAGAATTAATAATAGAATTTAGGAATTTTGCTGGATGTAAAATCAGTATCCAAAGATTAATTGCATTTCTATGTGCCAGAGATAAACAGTTAAAAAGTGAAATCACTATACTCTTGTCTGTGCCTTGGTTTCTATAAAATTGGGATGATCATACTAACCTTTTGCTGCAAGTAGAAGAATGTAGTATAACATTTAAGAATGTGAGCTGTGTAGTCAAACTGCCTGAGCTCAAATCCTTATTCGACCAGTTACAGAATCATATGTCTGAACTAGTCACTTAACATCTCAAAGCCTTAAACTTAAACCTGTAAAATGGAAATTGTTAATAGACTATTTAACTTAGGTGTTAAGAAAATTAAATGAGACAATATATGAAACTACTTAGCCCAGTGCCTGATGTATAGTATTTATCCAACAAATGTTAATTGCTTCTGTTACTTGAAAAATTAGTTTAACCTAAAGTTACAGGAATAATAGACATGACATTCAGACTGAAGTTCACCTTGTTTCTCTAGAACCAAAAGGAATCTAAAAAAATAAAAATAAATAATAACAGTAGAGTGTGAAATATGATGGATTGGTGAGAAAAAAAGCATAATCCCTGGATGGATGCTAGATAAGGAGCAGGTAGCAAAAAAAAAAAAAAAAAAAAAAAAAAGAAAGAAAGGCTGAACATGAAATAATTAATTTAACTTTTTAACTTGTACCAGGCTTAATATTTTCAAAGAACACATAATGCTATACGGGAAAAGCTCACTACTATGTATAATGTTATGTGAAAAAAGGAAAATATAAAAAATGACTTTACAGAGTGTTCTCAATATTGTTAAAAATATATATTATAGTAAACATTCACTTAATTGTCACATCAGTCATAAGATAGGTATTGAAACAAAATGGTGAAATAACTTACTCAAGGTCGCAAAGCAATTTACATACATGCGTTGGGAAAAAACTAAAAATTCACCAAAATATTACATTGTTATCTCTGTGTGGTGATACTTGGAGTAATATTTTTGTCCTTTATAATTTTGTGTATTTTTCAAAATTTCTATAATGCATATTATTTTTATAATTAGGAAAAGCAGTAAATGTTGTTACTTTTATTGATCACAAAAAAGTCTATCACGGAAATGTAATTCTAAGCTGATTGATTAATATATAACTCACAAATATGTCTTCATTTTACCCTGAGGTTTTATATTGTAATGACTGATGCCCTTAAGAAAGATATGGGTCTAAATTGCTGTGAATAGAGTTGGTGAGCAGTATCATGCAAAAAATGGGAATGGCTGACTCAATCTTAGAATCTTTGCTTCCCTTTTCTGAGCTTTCAAATTTTTCTAAAAGTAGAGTTACTACTATCATATGGAAAGACAGATTTTAGATTACAGGACTTCTGATAAAGATTTGAGGATTTTCTCTCATATCTTTCTACATTTTCCAGGCTACTTGTTCCTTTACTGTGTCTGCAACCAAAGGATAAAGAGTTTCATGGGTCCAAAGAGGTCTGAGATTCCTTAAGTGTAATCTGGTAACTTATTGTTCCATAGCAAAGCCCAAGTCTTCTTCAACTCTCTTTTGTCCTTGTCTTTGTGTTCTTAGGTGCTGATATCCGTGGCTTCAGTGCTGATGTGACCTTTGACTTGACATTGGGAAGTGTAGTAGATGAAGTACAGAGAAACAAGAAGCCTGTGGTGGCAGCTATCCAAAGGGTGGCTTTAGGAGGGGGACTGGAGCTGGCCCTGGGCTGTCACTATAGGATTGCCCATGCAGAGGTAACAGAGGGGATCCATGTGGGATTTGATGTAGGGAGCTTTTCTTTAGAGCAAGCTCTAAATGTAGTCATAAGCATCAGAGGTGATCATTTTGAATGGTTAGCTTACTGGTTCACAACTCTTAGGTTTTTCTAGCACTGATGTTCAGCTGTTATGTATGAGTACAGTGTTACTCTTTGTTAAAATGTTGAAATATGTCCATTCTAGTTGATAAAGAGTTACTACCCTGAGCCTGTAACTGTCCCATCACTTCCTCTAACCCTAGCCTTTGGACCTTCCCATGACCCACTAGCTAAAGGGGAACTCCTGTACAGGACCCCCAGGACCTTGCTCTAATACTGTGGCCCACATCAGATTTCATTGAGCCATGCTCATGCAGTATGAGGTATTAATATTTTGACTATCACCCCTGAGTGTACATACTTATTGAAATTTTTGTTTCCTATCTCAAACATTTCAGTTTTGTGGTCTCACAATTTTTAGTACCTAAGAAGACAAGTTCCTATTGGAAACTGTGCACAACTGGTAAATCCATTTATTTCTGGAAATAGATTTAATTTGGGTTATTAGACATATAGATTGAGGTTTGTGATACCAGTCTTATAATAGTAATATTTTTATAAGTAATACATTTTTCTAATAATAAAGATAATATTCATCATTGTAATAGACTATAAAATACAGGAAAGTACAAAGATGTAAAACTGAAGTCACCATAAACTCACAGTTCAGAAATAACCACTATTGACATTTTATTTCTTCCTTGTCTTTTTCCTGTGTAATTTTTTTTCTTCACAATCTTTTTTTTTAAAAGAAACCAACTACGTTTGGAATTTTATTGTATTTCACTTGTACTCTTTTTATACTAATACCATATCTAAATTATTATTAAATATTCTTTATCCATTCTACCAATCTCTACCATTTACATTTAACATAATTACTGATAAGGAAGGACTTTTGCCATTTTGCTATTTGTTTTCTATGTCTTATATTTCTTCATTCCTCAATTCCTCCATTAATGCTTTTGTTTGTATTAAATGGATAAGTTCTAGTACCCTTTTAATTCTCTTATTGTTCCTTTCACTGTATATTTTTGAGTTATTTTCTTAGTGGTGGTTGCCCTGGAGATTAACATCTTAATTTCTGACAATCTAGTTCAGATTAATACCAACTTAATTTCAGTAGTATTTAAAAAATTTGCTCCCATATAGTTCTGTTACACACCCCCTTTATGCTGTTATTGTCACAAATTATATCATTATACATTGCATGCCCATCAATATAAATACATAATTATTGCTTAATGTAGTGGTCTTTTAAATCAGGTAAGAAAAAAGAGGAATTGCAAACAAAAAGTTACATTAATACTGTCTTTTATATTTACCTGTGTAGTTACCTTTTAACAGTGTTCTTTATTTCTTCATGTGGGTTTGAGTTACTGTCTAGTGTATTTTCATTTCATCCTGAAGGATTTCTTGTAGGGCAGATCTGCTAGCAACAAATTCAATTTTTATTTATCTGAAAATGTCTTAATTTGCCTTCATTTTTTAAAATAAATTTTAATTTATTTTTTTATTTTGGGCTGTGTTGGGTCTTCGTTGCTGCATGTGGGCTTTCTCTAGTTGCGGTGAGCGGGGACTACTCTTCACTGTGGTGCACAGGCTTCTCATTTTGGTGGCTTCTCTTGTTGTGGAGCATGGACTCTAGGCTCGCGGGTGTCAGTAGTTGTGGCTCACGGGCTCTAGAGTGTAGGCTCAGTAGTTGTGGTGCACGGACTTAATTGCTCCACAGCATGTGGGAATCTTCCCGGACCAGGGCTCGAACCTGTGTCCCCTGCATTGGCAGGCAGATTCTTAACAACTGCGCCACCAGGGAAGTCCCAATTTGCCTTCATTTTTAAAGACTAGTTTTGCTGGATGTAGAATTCTTGGTTGACAGTACTTTTCTTTCAGTACTTTGAACGTGTCATCCCACTGGCACTGGTCTCCCTGGTTTCTTTTTTTATTATTTTTATTTATTTATTTTTGGTTGTGTTGGGTCTTTGTTGCTACGTGTGGGCTTCATCTAGCTGCGGTGAGTGGGGTCTACTCTTCCTTGTGGTGCGCAGGCTTCTTATTGTGGTGGCTTCTCCTGTTGCAGAGCACGGGCTCTAGGTGCATGGGGTTCAGTAGCTGTGGCATGTGGGCTCAGTAGTCGTGGCCAGCGGGCTCTAGAGTGCAGACTCAGTAGTTATGGCACATGGGCTTTGTTGCTCCGTGGCATGTGGGATCTTCCCAGACCAGGGCTTGAACCCAAGTCCCCTGCATTGACAGGTGGATTCTTAACCACTGTGCCACGAGGGAAGCCCTCTCCATGGTTTCTGATGAGAAATTTGCTGTCAGTCTTATTGTAAATATTCCTTAAAAATATCATTTTAAATGGCTGCATAATTTTTCATCTTATAGATTTATCATAATTTATTTAACCATTTCCCTATGTTGTTTTAATTTTTTATAAAACTTATAAATAAAGACACATATCCTAAGTGTTCCTTTTTCTGTGTTCCTAATACCATGACCTTCTGCACACTGAGTGCAGATCTAAGTTATAAGCAATAGTAAGTCAGGGGATAGGGATGACCACTGGTGGGAAAAATGGTGATCAACTGCTAGGAAAGCCTCATATGAGAGAGGCTCAAACATTCCAGGTATTTTGGAGCTGTTGGCATCACAATTTGGGCAAATGGCAGTCTGTATTTAAGTACCCTCCTCCTCCCATCCTTATACCTGGAAAATGACTAACAGAGCTTTGGCCACTTTTAAGGCCAAGAGAGGCATGTGATTAAGGTCTCACTCAATCTCACCCTCTCATCTAGACTGAGGTTGCTGCCTAACTTTCTTCCTTTCCCCCTCCCTTCCTTTCTTCCTCGCTTCCTTTCTTCCTCCCTTTCTTCCTCCCTTTCTTTCTCCCTTTCTTTCTCTCTTTCTTTCTTTCTTTCTTTCTTTCTTTCTTTCTTTCTTTCTTTCTTTCTTTCTTTCTTTCTTTCTTTTTCTTTCTTTCTTTTTTTATAATAGCTTCATTGAGATATAATTCATATACCATATAATTCACTCATTTAAAGTGTACAGTCCAGCGGTATATTAGTATATTCACAGAGTTATGCAATCATTACCACAGTTGATTTTAGGATATTTCATCACCCTCAAAAGAAACTTCACACCTTTTAGGAGTAAACCATCATTTCCCTCTCCCCCAGTCCTAGCAATTACTAATCTACTTTCTGTCTGTATGGATCTGCCTATTCTAGACCCTGCATGTAAATGAAAACATACAATATGTTGTCTTTTGTGTCTGTTTTTTTCCACTTAGCATTGTTTTCAAGGTTCACCTGTGTTGTAGCATGTCATTAGTATTTTATTCCTTTCCATGGCTGAATATTTCTTTTTATGGATATACCACATTTTCTTTATTCATTCATTACTTGATGGACATTTGGATTGTTTCTTCTTTCTTGGATTTATGAACAATGATGCTATGAAAATTTTTGCACAAGTGTTTTTTGTGGGCATGTTTTCATTTCTTTTGGGTATATATAGAGGAGTGGAATTGCTGGGTCGTATGGTAACTCTATGGTTAACCTTTGAGAAACTGCCAAGTTGTTTTCCAAAGTGACTGCATCATTTTACGTTCCCACCAGCAATGTATGAGGGTTTTGTATGCTCCACATACTCTCTAAAACTTGTTATTGTATTTCTTTTTTATTATAGCCATCATAGTGGGTATGAAGTGGTATCTTGTAGTTTTGATTTGCATTTCCCTGATAGCTAATGATATTAAGCATCTTTTCATGTGCTTATTGGCCATTTGTATCTTTTTGGAGTAATGTCTATTCAGATGCTTTGCCCATTTGAATTGGATCATTTGCCTTTTTATTATTGAGTTGTAAAAGTTCTTTATATATTCCACATATATTATTAGCAAATATTTTTTCCCATTTTGTGAATAATAGAGTCAGAGAAGAATTGTGTAAGAAGCTGGGGATGTGTTTCAACATGAAGACTTAGGGATGGCACAGCTCTATTTATGCTATTAATTAAAGGAGAGGGTGTGCACTAATTTTCTCTGTAGGAACTCTCACTGAATTCTATGCAGCAATGTTTTTGAGGGTGTGAGAAACCCAGGGGAATGCTTGCCTTGACTCTGAATATATCATCTCATTCTAATGACCTTTATGCCTTCAATCTTCAATAGGCTCAAGTTGGCTTCCCAGAGGTCACACTAGGAATCCTTCCTGGTGCAAGAGGAACCCAGCTTCTCCCCAGACTTATTGGAGTTCCTGCTGCACTTGACTTAATTACCTCAGGTCAGTACTAACCCTGCCAATGTCTGTCTAGTTCAATGTGAGGAACTGGACTAGGATTTAGAAACATTCTGGCTTGACCATTCCCTACCCATGTAATTTTAAGAGGATACTTTAACTTCTTTGATGTCAATTTTCTCATCTTTAAATGTAAAGAATGCCTTTTCTGAGAGCTTCTCAAAAGTTACCATGAAGAGCAAATGTGAGTGCCTTCTAAATGAAAGTATATACAAAACCCTAATCACATTTAAGTGTCTACTCATAGATGCTGGTTTCACATAGGGTGAAATTATATTCACATAGGGTGCATTATATTCAGATCTAATTTAGAACTTATAATATAAACAAGAATTAAAACCAGAATTTCCAAGGAAAGATTTCAAATTTTAGTTTGGAAATGACTGCATTTTTCATTTCCCAGGTGTTAAAATATTAGCTTCAAATAGTTTTCTCTTTCAATAGGGAATGTGAACAATGCAACACTAGAAATCATCTAGAGACCCTGAATTTACGAAATATGATAAGACATAGAAAGATATTGCCAGTCGAAGTGAGGTTGGATGAAAGAACATACATAACTATTTACTCCAAACAGGTAGAACTAATGAGGCCTTGGGCTAGACACTTTACCTCTCTGTGCCTTAGTTTCCTCATAAATGTTTATGACAATAGCACTTAGCATATGGTGGTGTGGTGAAGATTAGATACCTTAATGCATACAATGTGTTTAGAACAGTCCTAGACATGGTAAAAAGTGTTAGCTATATGTTATTATTCCCATATCTGACTTTAGTGAAAGAGGAGGATTGAGTAAAAATAAGATGAGGATCTTGGTAATAGACTATATCCCAAAGAATGGGCAATAAAAAGAGCACAATCTTTAGAATCAAAGACCTGAGCTTGAATCCCAGCTTTACCACATATAAAGAATATGCCTTGTACAAATTAATTTTTATTCACTCATGCAGCAGCTGTTTAATTTTTTCTCATGTGCTGGGCCCTGTTGTAGGCAGTGGGCCTATAGAGGTAAATCAAACCTACAAAAACTCCTGCCCTTATGGAGATTATATACAGAAAACAATAACAATAATTATCAATTCAAAAATGCACAGTGTTTTCCACATCTTTGAAATCAGGACACCTCTTACATTCATTGTGAGTTGTGGTTTGATTGGCTGTGTTTCTCTTCCCTTGTTTCTGTGGGTCAGGAATTTGGGAACAGCTTAGTTGGGTTCTAGCTCAAGGTTTCTCGTGAAGTTGCAGTCAAGATACTGACTGGGGCCATAGTCATCTGAAAACTTGACTGGGGCTGGAGGATCTACTTCCAAGATCTACTTCCAAGATGGCGCACTCACATGGATGGCTGCTGCTGACTGTTGGCAGGAGGCTTCATTTCCTCTCCACATGGACCTCTCTCTAGAGCTGCCTGCATATCCTCACAGCATGGAAGCTAGCTTCCTCTAGAGTGGGTGATCCAAGAGAGAGCAAGGCAAAGACTGCAATGTCTTTTATGACATAGCTTTGGAGTCACATGCCATCTTTTCTGAACTATTCTATTGATTATACAAGTCTTCCCCATCCAACTTGGGAGGGGAACTTGAATACCTAGAGGTCAAACACATGGCAGGTCACTTTGGAGACCAGCTACCACACTGTATACTCTTCTTAAACTCCATGCCTACCTATTATGTAAGTAGTATACATGGTAGGTTAGACGGAGATCAGTGCTAAGGAGAAAACATAAAGCAGAAAGGGGAAATGTAAAATGATAGGGCTGGGGGTTGGGTAATATTTTAGGTAGTATAGTTGGGAAAGGCTTTCCTACAAACAGAATGTGAGTGAATACCTGAAGGATGGAGGAAGCTTGTTATGCCAATATCTGGAGGAAGATATTCCACACAGAGAAAATAGCAAATACCAAGCCCTGAGGTAGGGGCATACTTGGAAATTTCAAAGAACAGCAAGAAGGTCAATGAAGCTAGAGTAAGGTGAGTAAGGGGAAGAGTAGTAGGGGGTGAAGTCACATCAGGTAGGGCCTTGAAGATTATAGAGAGAACTTTGGCTTTTCTTCTGAATGAGGTAGAAAGGCATTAGAGTGCTTTGAGCAGAAAACTAACAAACATGCTGTCACTTATGTTTTTTAAAAGCTCACCCTGGCTACTGAAAATATATTAATTGGAGGTAAGGCCAGAAATAGGAAGACTGATTAGAAGCCTGCTTTAATAATCCAAGGGAGCCATGACGGGAGGTTAGACCTGAGTGGTAACAATGTAAATGGTGAGACATGGTCAAATTCTGGATATATTTTGAGCCAACAGGATTTTGTGACAGACCAAATGTGAGAGGTGAGGGAAAGGGGAGAGAAAATGATGATTCTAATGGCCTCAGCAGCTGGAAGGATGGTGCCATTACTGAGAAAAGGGGAATTCTGCTGGTAGAGCAGGTTGTAGGGAGGAATCACAAGAGCTTAGTTTTGGACATGTTAAGGTTTGACATCCAACTTGAGGTGTCAGGTAGACAGTTGGATAGACTGGCCTGAAATTTAGAAGGGAGATTGTATGAACTTCTCTCAGTCTTCATTTTCTCATCAGTAAAACAACCACATAGTTGTGTAAGGAATAATGAAATTACATGACTTGCTTCTGGTATAGTACCTGTCATGTCACAGAGGAGACATTTTATAAATGGTAACTGTCATAGGCATAATGATGCCTCTCTCCAAGATGTCCACGTCCTAATACCTAGAACCTGTGAATATATTACCTTACATTCAAAAGAGACCTTGCAGGTGTGATGAAATTAAGGATCTCAAGATGGGAGATTATTCTAGATTGTCTAGGTAGGCCCAATTTATCACAAGCGTCCTTAGAAGAGGAAGGCAGGAGGGAGAGAAGATGATACACAGCTGGCTTTGAAGATGGAGGAAGAGAAGAAATGTAGGCAGCCTCTGGAGGCTAGAAAAGCCCAGGAACAGATTCTCTCTCAGAGCCTCCAGAAGGAGCACAGTTCCGCTGACCTATTTTAGATTTCTGACTCCTAAACTAAGATAATAAATGTGTGCTGTTTTAAGATGCAATGTTTGTGGTAATCTGTATAGGAAACTAATACAGTAGCCATTAATAATGATGATATTAAGACTCTTGCTTCTGGAAAACATTTTTTTTCCTAAGAAGGGATGCTAAAAAATTGTTACTGAAAGTTGAAGATTCCCTACTGATGTTAATGAAGAAAAATACTAGCTCTATAGGCACTGCCCCCATAGGAAATTAATAAGTAAATAAATTTAGATTAAATTAATAAATAGCTAACCTTTTCTGCTCTTCTGAAAACCATAAGAGAGATAATTCTGGAAAGTGGAACAATTACAACAACCACTGCTTCTCCACAATTCCCTTAAAATGCCACCTGAAAACAACTGAATCTTTAGCAGTAACCACAAAACACACGCTTGGGCACAATGCAGTTCATTCCCTGACATTCTCTGTCCAATCAAATGATGAAAACTACAGTGCCCTGATGTTCCTTCTGCTGTTATTTTCTAGGTCCCGTCTTTCTTTTTCACTGAACAGCATAGAAAGCCTTTTCTCTATTCTCATAGAGCTTTGTCTCAGCCCCATAGTTACTTTATGATCTTTCCCAGGACAGGGATGCCCTCAGACTCTAGTCTTTGATGAGGTACCTCTTGCCACCCAGGGTACTGGGGAAGAAGCTGCGAATGGCATCTTTATCCTGCCAGTCTTTCAGATTTAGTTAGGTCCATGTGGGTTTTCTCTATACTCGAACAAGATGTTAAGGGTGAGTTTTAATATCCAGGGCTCCCAGTCAGCAATAATAAATATCAGCAAATATTATTTCATGACTAAGACAAACAAAACAGACCAAAAAAAAAAAACTATGAAAATATTCTGTGTCATTAGAAAAATGAAACATAAATGTGAGTCTGTTGAAACAGATTAAAGGCAACAAAAAATCTTAGAAAACTCACAATATTCTAAATTAGAAAAGAAAATATTTTATTTATTAAATAAGAACACCCTGTTTAAAATCAAAACATTAGCCAGAATAACTTTGAAGCAATAAAAAAAAAGATGCAATATAACAGACTACTGAATCAGCAACATAGATGATAGAGACACGTTTATAGAATTCAGAAGAATTTCTAAAAAAAATACAGAAAATGTAAATGAAGGCAGCAGACATGAGAGGTCTATAATAGAGGCCTCTGCTATGAATAATAAAAGCTCCCAGAGCACAAAGAGAAAAGGGGAGAAGCAATAATGATAGGAAAAAATAGAAGGATCTCTTCAGATACATAAAAGAATCAGAGATTGTATTTTAGTAAGCACCTCATTTTCCTGGAAAAACTGATGAGATGTCAATGCCTTGTATTTTGATAAAGATTTTAAATTTCCACGAAATAGACTCCTGCAAGCTTCCAAAGGATAAAAACAAAACACAACAAAAGGTTACTCTTGAAACAGCTAAAATCACTCCAGCCACAAATGAATTCTCAACGTATGGAACATTTGTATACTAAGATGCTATACAGTCTTAAATGTGGTCTAAATCAGGAGTTCTTAAAGTGCGGCCTAGGAACTCGTAAGTGTACCTAAGACTATTGTGTATGGGGGGGCAGGGTGTGGGGGTGGGGTCCATGGAGTCAGAACTATTTTCATAATAATAAGATATTGCTTGCCTTTTCCACTCTCATTCGCTCACAAATATACAGTGGAATTTTCCAGAGGTTATTGTATGCCATGCGGTATCAAAACAGATGGAATGCAGAAGCAGAAATGAGAATCCAACTGTCTTCTATTAGGCCAGACATTAGAGAAATTTGCAAAAATATAACAACACTCTTCTCACTAAAGTTTTAAAATTTTGAAAATAGAGTTATTTTGCATAAAAATTTATTTATGTTAATATGTAATAGGTTTATCATGGTTATTTTAAAGTGATTTAATAAAGATACATTTTTAAAGTTCTCAGTTATAATTTCTAATATAGTAAATATTAATAGAAATAACCCATATAAAAAAAAGCTCTTTGGCATATTCCATAATTTTTAAGAGTGCAAAGGGGTCCCAAGACTAAAAAGTTTGAGAACTGCTAATCAATACACTTTAAAAAAAAATAAATTTATTTATTTTATTTTATTTATTTTTGGCTGCGTTGGGTCTTCGTTGCTGTGTGTGGGATTTTCTCTAGTTGCAGCGAGCGGGAGCTACTCTTAGTTGTGGTGTGCGGGTTTCTCATTGCAGTGGCTTCTGTTGTTGCAGAGCACAGGCTCTAGGCACGCAGGCTCAGTAGTTGTGGCTCACGGGCTCAGTAGTAGTGGTTCTCGGGCTCTAGAGCACAGGCTCAGTAGTTGTGGCGCAGGGGCTTAGTTCCTCTGTGGCATGTGGGATCTTCCCGGACAAGGGCTCGAACCCTTGTCCCCTGCATTGGCAGGCGGATTCTTATCCATTGCACCACCAGGGAAGCCCCAATACACTTATGTTTTGACACAGAAACCACAATACAAAACTGTGCACACATGGTCCAAATTAGAAAATAATGAGTCTATATTATTACTAATATATAATTTCTAGTGTAAAATTTATACAGTTACTAATATATAATTTAGACTAAAGTCTAAAATGGCTTTTTCCCCCTTTAAATGGGGAGATGTTATAAATTCTTTAGAGCATGAAAAGGGAGTTAAAAACTAAATTTCTTGTCTTCAATAAATTAGATTAGAAGTTGCTGTAATTTACAGTGGTATGATAAGTACACTTTTAAGAATGTGAACTATTTTAAGTACCTAATGTAGAATTCATAAGAGGATGCTTACAATCAACCCAACATACTACAGAAATTCAAAGCACATGAGAGGGTTAATTCTGCAAAAGACAAAATAGAAAGGAAGCAAAGCAGCATAAAATATAGGGGGAGGGCTTCTCTGGTGGCGCAGTGGTTGAGAGTCCACCTGCCGATGCAGGGGACGCGAGTTTGTGCCCCGGTCCGGGAGGATCTCACATGCCACGGAGCGGCTGGGCCCGTGAGCCATGGCCGCTGAGCCTGCGCGTCCGGAGCCTGTGCTCCGCAACGGGAGAGACCACAACAGTGAGAAGCCCGCGTACCATTTATTCTCAAAAATTAATCCCCGACCAAAAAAAAAAAAAAAAAAAAAAAAAAAAAAAAAAAAAAAATATATATATATATATATATATATATATATATATATAGGGGGAAATCATAATATGAAATGAAATGAAATCAAAATCAAATTTAAAATGAAATCAAAATCATTTCATAGTGTGAAATGAGTCTGTAAATTCTAAGGTTTATAAAAATTAAAGCATGTGGGGGAATATTGAGGAATTGTGTGTTCCTGCTTTCAGTATTAAGCCTGAAAGGCAAGAATATCTTGGAGGAAATCAGGAAGGAATTTGGTTTCTTTGACAAAAAGAAATAAAGTGAACTAGGATTCACCTTTTTCAAAGCACTGCTGTTTATAGAAATATCACTATTTTTAACATGATGAAGAAAAGAGGTAAAAATAGTAAGAATATGATAGATTTTGATTTGCATAGAGAAGGTCACAGTGAATTAGAAGAAAGCTAACATTGGAATCATACACCTATCTTTTTATTTTATTTTATTTTATTTTTTAACATCTTTGTTGGAAACCTATCTTTTCAAGTAGTCTGTACAATTTTAAGGGGACTTTAAAATGGCATCTGGAAAGGGTTCCATGTAGAAATTTTTTTCTAAAGCTTAGAAGAGAAGCCACAAAGAAAATTGGAAAGAATTGAGATTACCTGGCTTGGAGAAGTCTCAACTTCAGTTGCCCCAGTCTCTTTATAGTAGATCTAGGCAGGGCTTTTATTAGATTGGACAGTGGTTATTGTCTACACTCAGAGCAACACAAGAAAGAACAAGTTTAAATCTCAGCATGAGGATTTGGGTTGGATATACAGAGCTGTGTCTTCAGGTCCTTGAAACAGAATAAAAGTACCTGAAATCTCATTGACTCTGTAAGAACAGTAGTGGTCCTTCCAACTTTTGTGAAATCCAGGTCAGAAGAAAACATTACAGCTAACGGAATTTTCAATTCATCCTATGGACATCTCATGTTTCCCCTGCTCAGTTGCCCCAAAGATCCTTTTAGTACCCAGGTTTTCATATTCCATTCCGTGTCCCTTTGGGCCCCTTAACCTAGAGAGTCTGATTCACTCACCCCTCACTCAAGTGATTTTGTACAGAGGAGACTTCACCCTTGAAGCCACTTGCCTACCCCCCACTGCCCTCCTCACCCCAGGCGGAGATCTGGAAGCCTGTTTTCAAAGGCATTTCCAGAAAACTGCCCAAATATTGCTGTTACAGTGTGACCCCTGCCCAAAATCATTGAATTGTCTATCCGATCAAGAAAAGCCATTGGTAGCTCTCCGAAGCACTAATAAGAACTGGGAATGGAGGGTTTGTCTCAGAGATGGCAACCACCAACACTCTGTAAGAGCAGCAAAGACCATGGAGTTGTTGCCAGCAAGACTGACTTGGTGATTGCTCTTCAGAAGCCCAGATGGTGCTGGTAAACAAGCAAGCAATGTGTCGCTGTCTCTCTCCTGACCCTGTGGTGAGGGAAGCTTATATCCCTTAACCTCCTGCTTCAGAGCGTGCAGATCAAATTACGTATTTATGCCTGCTGGAGAATGTGGGAGTAATGCAAGCCCTCATCAAACTTCTGTAACCTCCTAGAGCTTCCAGTCTATACCAGAGGCTGCCAGTGTCACTAGTGGATGGTAGGTGCCCCTGGCACCACCGCCACCAGACACTAGATGTCACCACCTGTGAAGTGAGATTTACGCTGTTGCTGTTCCTTAGTGTTACTCACTCCAGCTAAAAACCCTCAGTTGAGCACTCAGTTTGCCAAGCTTGGGATCATGGGACACACCCTAGTGCCAGGTCTGAAGGAACAATTGTCTGATCATCTCTGTTTCTTTTTTAGCTTCCTTTTTAGCTCCAAAGCTCACACATTAGCAATTCCACAAACTAAGGGAGGGTCGAGATGCTGGGTAGCCAAAAAATGGCAGAGGTCCACCCCACTTTTCCTGTGAAATTTTGATTATAACTTATGTGATATCAACTTAATAATTCTTTTCCCCTGTCTATCCAACTATATTTGTGTTTGAGCTCAGTTCGTAATCAATGGCAGCCTATGGTGTATGCTAGTATAAGAACAGATAGTACTGCTATTGCTGTGCTGCTACTACCTCTGTTATTTTTTATCTCTATTATTATCAAACGATAAATCCTCATTATTATACAGAGATTTATAGTTCATAAAGTGCTTCTAATAGAGATTTACAGAATAGAAGGAAAATGTATTATTTTCACTTAATACTCAGAATTACCAAGGTAAGCATAATTTTTGCCATTTACCAACGAAGAAATTGTGGTCCTAGTACAGTTCACACAAATAGTGCAAGGTAGAGCTGGAACTTGAATCAAAATTTTCTGATTACCTCTGCAGTAATCTTTCCACTGTAACAGTCAGCGTGGTGCTTGTTTAGTTAGTAACAGATGTTTATACCCAGGACAAGTGAATTTTCCTACTAGAGGGAGTGATGTTTTTGGTTTAATCTCACATTGTTCTTTGATTTGTTTTATTTTGTTTTCTTTTAGGAAGACATATTTCGGCAAATGAAGCTCTTAAGCTGGGTATTCTAGATAAAATTGTGAACTCAGATCTGGTTGAAGAAGCAATCAAATTTGCCCAGAGAGTTTCAGGTAAAGAAGATAATAATAAAACTAGCACAAATTGGAAACAAGTTAAATGTCCGTCTTAATAAGGAACTCCTTAAATATTTTATGGTACATCCAAATAGAATATGATACAGTTTTTTTTTAATTGGAGTATAATTACTTTACAATGTTGTGTTAGTTTCTGCTGTACAATGAAGTGAATCAGCTATATGTATACCTATATCTCCTCCCTCTTGAACCTCCCTCCCTGCCCCCCACCACCCCACCCATCTAGGTCATCACAGAGCACCTAGCTGAGCTTCCTGTGTTTTATAGCATGGTCCCACTAGCTAGCTATTTTATGCATGGTAGTGTATATATCAATCCTAATCTCCCAATATGTCCCACCCTCTCCTTCCCTCTCTGTGTCCACATGTCCATTCTCTACGTCTATGTCTCTATTCCTTCCCTGCAAATAGGTTCATCTGTACCATTTTTCTAGATTCCACATACATGCGTTAGTATACGATATTTGTTTTTCTCTTTCTGGCTTACTTCACTCTGTATGACAAGACTCCACATATCTACAAATGACCCAGTTTTGTTCCTTTTTATGGCTGAGTAATATTTCATTGTATATGTGTACAACATCTTCTTTATCCATTCATCTGTCATTGGACATTTAGGTTGTTTCCATGTCCTTGCTATTGTAAATAGTGCTGCAATGAATATTTGGTAACATGTGTCCTTTTGAATTATGGTTTTCTCAGGGTATATGTCCAGGAGTGGGATTGCTGGGTCATATGGTAGTTCTATTTTTAGTTTTTTAAGGAACCTCCATACTGGAGGTTGATACAGTGGCTGTATCAATTCACATTCCCACCAACAGTGCAAAAGGGTTCCCTTTTCTCCACACCCTCTCCAGCATTTATTGTTCGTAGATTTTTTGGTGATGGCCATTCTGACTGGTGTGAAGTGATACCTCATTGTAGTTTTGATTTGCATTTCTCTAATAATTAGTGATGTTGAGCATCTTTTCATGTGCCTCTTGGCTATCTGCATGTCTTCTTTAGTGAAATGTCTATTTAGGTCTTCTGCGCATTTTTTAATCGGGTCGTTTTTTTGATATTGAGCTCCATGACCTATTTGTATATTTTGGAGATTAGTCCTTTGTCCGTTGCTTCATTTGCAAATACAGTTTTAAAATGAATGAGAAACTCTATGTATTGACATGGTATGAATGCCATGATGTATTGTATGGTTAAATGAAAAAAGCATCATTGTGTACAGTGGTTCAACATTTGTGTAACAAGAAAGGGGGGATGGGATTGAATGTTTATATAGGGAGAGTGTATATTTGTAACTGTCTCTGTATAGGATACTTCTGTAACTATTCACAAGAAAGGATTGATGATTGCCTCTGGGAATGGGGCTGACCAGCCAGCAGAAGCAGTTAAAAGTAGATGTGCCTTTTTATTCTTCTGTACCTTTTGAATTTTTATTGAATGAGTGTATCTTCTATTAAGAAACATAACTAAAATTTAAGAAAAAACAAGCAAACAAACATTTCAGCCATTAGAAGACAGGCTCTATAATTTACCACAATGAAGCCATGGTTCTGTCTCAGTGAGCTACATTCCTTTAAGAGTTCTTTGGAGTGGCATTCCTAGATTTCTTTTTTTTTAAAAAATGTTCCTTTTTGATTTTTGGAGGCTGGCCGCAAGATGGAGAGGGTTAAAGAGCATCAGAAAAAATAATTGGGAGGAATATTGGGCTATAGGCAGTGTTCATCTCCCTCGGTTGGTGGTAGGTAATGGCTAGGTGTCATTCAAAGGCTTCTTTTGAAAAAGTCATTCTTTTGTCCACCCTGGCAGGGACCAAACACTTCCCTGAAATAATCTTTCTTTTTGTGGCTCTAACCAGTTACTGTTTCATTTCAATAGCAAAAGCTTGAACTGGAAAGGCCAGGAACTGTAAGGAGAAAATACTGGTGACTCTAAAGAGAGTTAGCAAGGCTTTGCCCAAAAGGGAATGAGTTTCCTGCTGTCTTTCTCTGCTTTCCAGATAATCTTCACCACAGTTTCATCACTGGTTTCATTGTGCCTCCTGGAAGCATTTATTGTTTTGTTGGAAGTCATTTGGCCTACAGCAAAGGCTATTTGCATTTGTAGGTTCCTAAATGTTTTTTGGTTTGGGGCTTAAGAGAGACCCATGTCTATCATTTACACCTGTAGTTTTAGTTTGTAAAGGCCCTGATTTTGAGAGAAGTTCTTTTCTTTGACTGATTTCCAGAGATTCAAATTTGAGAGTTAAGTTACTACAAGAGATAGATGAGTATCATGGTCTGGTACACTTATAAAATGATCTGTTTTAATTACTAAAATTTATTTAGTTTTAAAAATTAATTTTACATTAAAATTTTAAACACTAAATTGTTATTTTTTTAAATTTATAAAACGGTCTACCCAATCTCAGTAATATTACAGTTTGTCCACTTGGTGGCATCCAAATATTGAGGAGGAATCATTTGCTTTAAAATTTGGTAATTTACCTGTTAACGATAGGAGAATGGTTCTGGGCTTTGGACAATTATGTATAACTATTTTAAATGATAATCATGAAAACTTTGTAGAAATGTTAAATTGTGATATAAAAATGTCTAAATACAAATTTACATATAGTCTATACTTATGCTACATAGAGTATTATGAATACAGACAAAAATTTTGTTGTTGTTTTTTTAAACATCTTTATTGGAGTATAATTGCTTTACAATGGTGTGTTAGTTTCTGCTTTATAACAAAGTGAATCAGTTATACATATACATATGTCCCCATATCTCTTCCCTCTTGCATCTCCTTCCCTCCCACCTTCCCTATCCCACCGCTCTAGGTGGTCACAAAGCACTGAGCTGATCTCCCTGTGCTATGCACCTGCTTCCCACTAGCTATCTATTTTACGTTTGGTAGTGTATATATGTCCATGCCACTCTCTCACTTTGTCCCAGCTTACCCTTCCCCCTCCCCGTGTCCTCAAGTCCATTCTCTAGTAGGTCTGTGACAGACAAAAACTTAAAGAAAATACACAAAAATGAAAATAAGTTGTTTTCCCCCCAGAATTTCTTAAATGATTTTTGCTTTTGTTTTGATTTTTCCAGCTTGAGGTATAATTTACACACAATAAAATTCATCCATTTTAAATGAAGAGGTCGATGAATTTCTGTAATCATTTGCAGTTGTATAACCACTGCCACAATCAAGATATAGTTCTATCACCCTAAATAGTATTGTCACGCCTCTTTGCAGTAGATTCTCTCCCCTGCCCTTGGCCGCAGACAACGACTGGCCTGTTTTCTGTTACTATAGTTTTGTTTTCTAGAATTTCATATAGCATGTAGTCTTTTGTGTCTGGCTTCTTTCACTTAGCATGTTTTTGAGGTTCATGATGTTCTTTCATGTATTAATTTTTTATTCTTTTTTTGTTACTGAATAATAATCCATAGTATGGATATACCACAATATGTTTATTCATTTATCAGTTGATGAACATTTAGGCTGTTTTCACTATGGGTGAACACAAGTCTTTGCAGACATTATATTTCCCTTTTCTCTTGAGTAAACACCTAAGAGTAGTACTGCTGGATCATATAGTAAGTATATGCTTAATTCTTAAATGCTTTTTTTTTTTTTTTTTTTTTTTTTTTTTTTTTGGTCCGCGGGCCTCTCACTGTTGTGGCCTCTCCCGTTGCGGAGCACAGGCTCCAGACGCGCAGGCTCAGCGGCCATGGCTCACGGGCCCAGCCGCTCCGCAGCATGTGGGATCTTCCCAGACCGGGGCACGAACCCGCGTCCCCTGCATCGGCAGGCGGACTCTCAACAGCTGCACCACCAGGGAAGCCCTTAAATGCTTTTTAAACTTGGTGATTAATATAAAACCATCCATGATTTGAAATACACTAATTTTTGCCAAGCAAATTAGCAAAGATAGAAAAAATAATATGCTCAGATTGAATTTAAATAAGCACTTATTAAACAGCTTGTAGTATATCCTGACTGTCTAGATGGCAATTGAGCAATCATGTATTGAAGCTTATTCTTACATTTTGACTTATCATTTCTATTCTCAGGCGTTTATCACAGAGAAATAATCACAGAAGTACACAAAGATTTGTATACAGTGATATTCACTGAAGCTTTATTTATCATTATAAAATGTTGGAAACAACTCAGATATCTAATTCTAAGGGATTAATTGCATATAACATGATAGATCTCAGTGAAGCAACCCCATTCAGCCATTAAAACTTCCATTTTTAAAGGAAATTGAAGAGCTTGGAAAAATGCTTACATGTAATATTAAGTAGAAAAAAACAACCAGAAAGGAAGTTGCACAAATGTGTGTGTGTGTGTTCATATGCATATTTACATACAGAAAAAAAAACTACAAGGAGATATTTAACAGTGGTTGTATTTGGATGGTAGGTAGTGAAGACCTTTTTTTTTTTTAATGTTTATCTTTTCCTATTATCTGAATCATTAAATTTACACAAAGGAAAAAGGGATGCCTGGCCAGTGTGGAAGGGGTACAGTCTAGTAGAGAAATAGGTTTAGGATTGGATGTCAGGAGGCCTGGATTATAATTTTAACCTGTAGCTATATGGACCCTAACAAATCAGCTTTGGGGGCTTTATTTTCTTCATCAATGAAAGGAAAAGTTTCCACAAAATGAGTTGGTTTCAAACCGTGTTCTGAGACCCTATGGGCTCCAGCTTTTTTTTGTCTTGCTACAACCTGGGCAGCTCTACTGTGTGTCTTTTGAGGTTTAGGGTTTAGAATCCCAAGGAAAACTCTGGTACTTTTACTTTAAAAAAAAAATGAGTTCTACTGTTTAGAATCCTATGATTTCTTGATGCTGCTCTGTAATAGATAAACACTAGAGATACAAGGTAGAGAAATAGGGCAGATCAATGAAGGACTAGCTTAGAGAATCTTATCTACATTTACACTTATTATCTTACAAAATGTGTAGCTTAGCTAGGCTTACTT